TTTTAAGAAAACTGGATTTTCCTACCTACAGAAATATAGAAATAACTTACTATAAAAAACCATTTTGTGTTGGTGTGTACTTTAGTTCAGATTAGTGGTTGAAGAAGGGGCCTCCTTATTCCCAATTTCATGATGACCCAGTTTCAACTTAATTGATCTGATGAAGTCATAAGTTTATGATTTATGAATTATATTAAGTCTACAGTAGAAACTGTCCATTTTTCTATTATGCTGTCAAATAGAAAACATTGGTAAGGTAGAAAAATCTAAATTTAAAATGGCTTAGAAAATATTCCGATTACCTTTAAATTTCTAAATTTCTTTTAATTTCTAAAACAGTGAAAATTATGGATGACTTATACATTATTATTCTCAAAGTCTCAGTCTTTTTAATATATATATTTATTTTTGTTAAAGCAGCTATTTTCCAACCTATGACTTTGGAAATACACTCATAAAACTAATATGGCAGCAGGGTTATTGAATCAGCTTTGAGTCCCAGAAGTTGCTTCAGATGTGCAAGTTGTGAATTTTTATTGTGTCTGTAAAATACAGTTTTTGTTTTAAACTGTAGTTCCAACAGTTTCTCAAAAATACTTTTCAAAGAGTGAAACAGCCCAAGATAACTGCTTCTGTGTCAATTACACTTGACACATAACCGCACAAATGAACCATGTACTCTGTTGGTTGTACATTAACTTACACGTACAACTTTTCAGCATCTGTGTTCACAAATGCATGTTTTTGCAAATCACGGTTATTTATAAGTGACAGTAATTGAATTTAAGGATACAAAGAAACTGCATTTGTAGTCCAGAGTTTTAAGTGGTCCATAATACAATGTATGGAAATGTGAAAGACAATTTTGTATATTTGTTTGTTACTAACTCAGATCATTAAAATGAAAACAGTTTTTTAAACAACAAAATCAGAATGTTTTGGGGTTTGGTTCTTTTATTTTCAAGAATTGAAAACTGAGGTACTGTCCATGCATTGTCATGTTACAGGTTCCTCACACAACACACACTGTACTATAGATTCCTAAATACAGTTATTAGGTACAAGTGGTGTAGGGCCCACCCTTCACTTTTTCAAATGATTAAGTTGTTATTTGATGAATTATTCTGCTTTGGCTGACAATATCAGAAAATACCCTAGAGTTTCTGTGTTAAGATACAACTCTTTCAGGCCTTTTCTACCTACAAAGAAGTATAATTCATTAAGTCACCTTTCTAATTTTTATTTGAAAATAATGCATAGCTGGAAGTAATTGCTGATACCCAGATACTTTTATCTATATAAACTATTGAACAGGTAAAAAGGAGTTTGTCTTGACTGATCCTTTAATTTTCAGATGAAAAAGACTCTGCCTTTTATATAATATTTTAAAATAGTAAGTATTTCAAGTAAAAAATAACGTGTTGGCTAGGTTTTAATTAGTTTTGATAGTAAAAGCACTTTTCATTCTTTGATTTATTTTACACAGTACAAAAATAATCAATGACCTCTATCAAAAAATTTTAGAATTCTGTAACATTCCTGTTGTATTCTTTGGTTGCTGAAATTGCTGTTCACTTAGAAAGTAGTCATTATTCAAATAATATATATTGCAAACCTAAATAATAGTACTTATACTATATTGCTTCATAAATGTCTTGTTACTATATAGTTTTTATTGGCATTTTTAAAACGTACTTTGTGTCTCAGAGAAGGTCTCTAAACTCAATTATTTAACGTGACCTCAAGAAAGATGTGAAAGAGAATACTTCTACTCTTTGCTTTCCATGTGGAAATGTTTTTATTACCAGAAAAATAATAAAGCTACTCATTCTTACTGTATTTAAAAAAAAGAGAATACAAAAAAATGTTTTTGAAGAGGGCATTAATCACTTCCTGCTAAGTCTTGACATCAGCCTAGAACATACTCTCAAGTTACCAGTATGGGATGGGTCACAATGTTTAAGTCTATGGATTGACCCTTTTCTGTAGTGTGGCTTTAAGTAAATACCTAGATTTCAGAGACACCCATATTTAAATGAAAATGAAAAGACATATTTCTAAGTGAAATAGAAATTATCTGGATTATTGATCATTTTAGGTTATATGTTCTTCAATTAGCATGAATAATTTAGAACTGACTGGTTTCAAATAAAAGGAAGATACAATTACCTATTAGTCTATTGTTAAACCTTATCTATTTTGTGATGTTAATCAGGAGTCAAGAAGTTGCTTTGCAAGAATAGCTTATGTTTTATATAATTTACCTGTAATGTATAGAGAGTTTTCTCTCAAATCAAATACAGCTTTTCTTTTAATTTAGCTCCTTACAGTATTTAGACTAAGGCAGCAATGAAAATCATTTAAGACTTAGAGTTTAAAAAAATGCACATGGTAGAAATGTTTTCCTTAAACTGCAGCCAAAATTATATTTTTCCTGTTCTTCCTCTCTTCAGAACCGTTCCATGGCTTTTCATTGCCTTTAACCCTCTCTGTCATAGATTATAAAGCCATTTATGAAATGATCCTTCTTTCCCCATTGTGGCCCAGGCTTAAAGAATGTGTTTTTTTATCTTGCCTTCATGTTCCCTCTGCTGAATTATTCTTCATCTCTTAATTTTTGCATCTCACTTTAACATCACTTCTGTCCAGTCAGACTAGGGTTTAACCCTCTGGACCAGATCATATGCCCTGTGATTCCTTTAATGTAGGATCTACCACATTGTGTTGTGGTTGCTGGATTGGTGGTCTCTCTCTCTCGTGTTCGATCCTGTCATCTGATGATAGGACTATATGTGTTTTCCTCTCCATTGCATCCCCAACATCTAGTGCAGTATCTGGTCTCGTTAAATATTTGATGAATAACTGGATATATGAGCGGGAAGTTACAGGGAACGTAAAGATAAAAACAGGAAAGTACTCATTGGATTTTTTAATAAAGGTATTCATGATCTTAATGAGCAATAGTAGTTGCAACATCAGAAGAAAATGACAATATTGAGTTTGTATAATCAGAAAATTGCTGGTATTTTATGCAAAAGTCAAATGTAGTGGCCATCATTTTCTGCATTTTGTCCTCGTACGCAGAGAGCCCAGGGACCAGGACTTCACATTCCGTTTTTTGGGCTTGAGACTCCCCAGATGGAACAATTAGGGAACAAAGTACTGGTGAAAAAAAAAATGAATGTTTCTGTTAGATGTACTCTCTGTGAACAAAATACTCCTGGGACGCGGGTTCATTACTTGGGGAGGGTCAGAGAAGGCTTCATGGAAGCATTAGTGATTAAGCCATGGAGCCTCAGATTGAGAGGACTTTTAAACAGCTGGATGAAGAAGGCATAATACTTAGTTTATATTCAGGAGAATGGTTTTCAGTCCTGACACTAAACAAGCTCTGTCCTCAGGAATGTCGTGTGAAGCCTAACCTGGATCTGTTTTCTCATCGTGAAAGTAAGGTAAGAAAGTCTTCTAAAGATGTCAATGAATGTTGAGAGGAATGCGGAATAGTTCAGTTTGGCAGCACCTAGAGAGGTATATCAGAATAAGAGTGGCCTTATACTATTTACAATCTTTTACTAACTTGGAAGACTTTTATCACGATCGTTAAGTAGGTATTTTATACATACACACCCTAGTAGCACTCAGTTCATCTTGAGATACTACTGTAAGATTAATGAGGATCATGTCTGGTATCATCAGTCAGCTGTGAAGTACTTACGGTCTGTATCCACAGTCTTCACCTTTATATCTTCAATAGCATGGAGACTTTTACACAGTAGGCATTCAATAGGTATGTGTTGAATAGATGGATGAGAAATGAGAGTTTCTTTGGAATCAATTTAAAGTGTGTTCAAACTGGCCTCTAAGTAGTTCAAAATGCTGTATTGTCAGTGATCCATTCCCTGCTTTCTCCTTCTACCTCTGGAAGAAAACATCTCTCTTATAGTCCCGACCCTTTGCAAGTCACTCAGAATTCTCACTGTGCTTGCTTCTCAGCAGACCAGAGTCCATTCTCTTAATTCTTGTTTGTAACTTCCACTTAATCTATGGCAGTCAATGGGCTATCATCAGAGAGCAGCTGTCTTTAAGAAAAGCAAGAGAATCCAAAACACTAGCAACAAGCCTAACGGAAAACCTGGCTTCAGAATGAGATTTTTTAATTAGCCTTGTTTACATAGACTCTATCAATGACTTAAAAACTGTTAATGGGCCGATCAGCAGAAGGTCTTTTCAATGCCAGTCCTTCATTGAGTTTATTATAAGATAATGTTATTTGACTACGGTAGAAGTCAGGAAGTTAAGGTTTTTCACAGCCAATACTAATGCAAATGCATTAACATTATCACAGGAGTTTGCAAGCAATTCACTATCAAAAAGATTAAAAGCATTGCAAAGTAAAAATTTGCCTTTTTTAAGTATACCCAAAAGTTAAAAAAATAATAATAAAAGTAAAATAATACACCCCTACTGCTTATGAGCAAACACACTCCCATCCAAATGAGAAAGATGAGAGATCATCACTAACTGGAGGCTGCGCACCACTGTTAATGTTCTCAGGCTGCTATCACAAAATACCACAGATTAGATGGCTTAAACAATGGAAACTTATTTTCTTACAGTTCTGGAGGCTAGAAGTCCCAGATCAAGGTCCAGCAGAGTCAGCTGCCAGCGAGGGCTCTCTTCCTATCTTGCAGATGGCTGTCTTCTCACTGTGTCCTCAAGTAGCAGTGAGAGCAGGCTTCGTCGTGCCTTATAAAGGCACTAATCCCAACATGAGTGTCCCTCACTTATGACCTCATTTAACCCTAATTACATCTCAAAGGCTCCATCTACAAATACTACCACGTTGAGAGTAGATTATTAGCTCACCAGGGCAACAGAATTGGGCCTGGAATATAGGCTGATCCTGGACCCATTTGACAGAGCTAAAAATTGATGACCTAAGCCTCCACCTTAGGAAATTAGAAAAAGAAGAGCAAATCAAAACCAAAGTAAACAGAAGAGCGCTCGCTTCAGCAGCACATGTACTAAAAGTGGAACGCTACAGAGATTAGCATGCCCCCTGTGCAAGGATGACATGCAGCCTTGTGAAGTGTTCCATATTTTTACTACCTACCATATATAAAATAGATAAACAACAAGTTTATATTGTATAGCACAGGAAACTATATTCAATATCTTATAGTAACCTATAATGAAAAAGAATCTGAAAAGGAATATATATGTATATGTATGACAAACATTATGCCGTACACCAGAAATTGACACAACATTGTAAACTGACTATTAAAAAGAAAGAATGGATCCTGTCCCTCCTTGATCACGCTCAGGTGTTAAGCTTCACTAATTTCCAGCTGATTGCGCTCTTGTTTTTAACAATTTATCCTGGGCATAAATTGCCCTACAAACTACTCTAATCGAGGCTCATTTGAAGGAATAGTACTGAGGTCAGTGTTAAATGTTTGTTCAGATTCCATGAGGGCTCCCCCTTGCTATCTTAATTCGGATTTTCGTCTGAAAACTAGTCAGCCTACAGTTTAGCTTGTATCTTGAATCTCCTTCCAGTTGTTTTTCACCATAACCTGTACTGTCCTTGTGAATTCTCTTAGACTTGGTCTTCTCCATGCGCTGCTGCAAATGAAGTCACTTCCTTTGGAAAGAGATGAGTAGTTATCTTTTTTATATGACCTGCTTCTACTGCCAGACAAAATTTCTGAGCCAGGGCTCTGAAGCTAGGTGGAACATGATGGCAAGCTTCTCTCTAAATAACATCCCTTAAGAGCTGAGTGCTCATGGTAGTGGGGAGGGGAGCAGCTGAGTGGGGAGCAGCTGAGCTCTTGGCTTGTCTCTCCTGGCATGGAATCAATGCTTGATGGGCCAGGGCAAGGATGATTAGGGTCCCAGTATTCTCAGCATGTCACACCCAAGACAGAGCCTCCATTCCATCAGTGGGAGCTAGGAAGAAGAAGGGAGTCCCCACCTCTCAACCATACCCTACCAGGACTTAGCCTCAAAAGGGGGAGTTGGGGGCAGAATGAGAAATGCTGATTTTCTGTTCCACCTAGAACGAAAGTCCTCCCACTGGGAGCTGGGGGACTAGGGAACCCTGCAGCAGTCTGGAGTACAGTCTCTTCCTTGCTGAGTTGAGAAGAAGAAGGAGGGAGTGGTCTGGACTCAATACCACAGACTCTTGCTTTTCTTACTCAGTTTTCATACATTTTCTTGAATAGATGTTGCTATATTTCTATTTGTGCTTAGGACCTCCAGCTGTTAAAATTTTTAAGTAAAAGTTTTTATGCAAAACTACAATGGTCCATATTTGATATGTGTATGAGTCTTTGTATCATGTTTGCATTTGATAAAAATAATGATTAAATATACTTATAATAACATGTAAAAATATAAACTATATACATGTTATATATATAATTTTCAGTCAAACATTCTTTTTTTAAAAATTTTTATTTCTTATTGAAGTGTAGTTGATTTACAATGTTAGTTTCATGTGTACAGCAAAGCAATTCATATACATATTTTTTTCAGATTCTTTTTCAATACAACTCATTACAAGAAATTGAATATAGTTCCCTGTGCTATACAGTAGGTCCTTGTGCTTATCTACTTTATTTTATTTATTGAAGTACAGTCAATTACAATGTGTCAATTTCTTGTGTACAGCACCATGTCCCAGTCATGCATATACATACATACATTTGTTTTCACATTCTTTTTCACTAAAGGTTATTACAAGATAATGATAGTTCCCTGTGCTATACAGAAGAAACTTTTTTTAAAATCTATTTTTATTTATAGTGGCTAAAATTTGTAAATTTCAAACTCCCAAATTTATCCTTTCCCACCCCCTTTCCCTGGTAACCATAAAATTGTTTACTATGTCTGCGAATATGTTTCTGTTTTGTAGGTGAGTTCATAGTGTCCTTTTTTTTATATATATATTCCACATATGAGTGATACCTATGGTATTTTTCTTTCTCTTTCTGGCTTACTTCACTTAGAATGACAATCTCTAGGTACATCCATGTTGCTGCAAATGGCATTATTTTATTCTTTTTTATGGCTGAGTAGTGTTCCATTGTATAAATATACCACAACTCCTTTAGCCAGTCATCTTTGACAGGTGTTTCAAATTAGACTTTTTCCCTTATAATTTCTCAGTGTTTCAAGGAGGAAAATTCTTTCTAGTATTCAATGTCTAGTCCCATAATTTCATTGGATCTTTTTTTTTCAGCAGCATTTTGTTTTGTTTTGTTTTGTTTTGTTTGTGGGGGGGCAGTAATTAGGTTTGTCTGTTTGTTTGTTTGTTTGTTTATTTAAATGGAGGTACTGGGGATTGAACCTCATACATTCTAAGCATGCACTCTACCACTGAGCTATATTCTCTGCTTCATTCGATCTTAATTATGGAATTTAATCATTTATCCATTCAAAAAATACTGAAATGTCAGGTAACAGTCTTGTTTACTGAAAAGGTAGGCAAAATTCTTTGTCTCACACCTCTCAAGCAGTGATGATAATTTGATGTCTGCAGTATCTTGATTTTGGGTAATGCCTTTGGGTTTTGAAAACAAGGAACTGTCAGGAAAAAAAAAGCTAAGTGGTGACAAATTGAGTGTATGCTTAAGGCTCTCAGGTAAATTTGTAGTCAGCACGAGATTTCTAAATCCTAAATATAAGCCTCACTGATGATCTGTTCTAGAAGTCCCCAAATCTAGCTGCATCCTGAAGTCATTAGGGAGCTTATTTCCAAGTGCAAAAGAGATGGAAAATTTCTGAACATATCCTACTGGTAATTATTAAATGATATACTCTGTGGACTTCCTAGCACCAGTTTATAACCTGGCTCCTGCCAAACTACAACTGAAAAGGCCAAAAGAACTTAAAAACATGGAAAAAATCTGCATCAATAAATAGGTATGATCTAAATGCTCCAAAGATTCTGCTACATGGACTGTTGAACAAGACTAGATTAAAAAAAAACCAGAGAGGAACTTCAACTTCTCTTCCAAAAAAAACCACAGGATGTTGATATGTTAAACAAATAGAGGAGATCTTGGCAGAATCCAACTATCAACCTCTGATTCAGTGGAATAGAGTGGCAGGAAGAATAAGGTCACAAGACTTTAGGAAAGCAGTCCAACTGAAGGCCACATTTAAAAAGCCTTCAAAAACGACAGGAGTTGGAAAGCTTCAGGGCAAGCACGCCCACAGCAAACATAAGCCAGCAGGTGATGTGTTACTTCTGCAATAAGAGAGACGGAATATAGTCACACTGTCTATGTGGAACAGAAGGTGGACCAAATAAAAAGTTAGAAAGCTGACCCTGGTACAGAGACTTCACCAAACACAAGAACGAAACTCTCAGGAGACTGTACTGTAGATCTAGTAGACCTTATAGACCTTACACGATGAGCTCTCCCGCTTACAGACTGGAGAGAAATTACTGAACAACCCAGCAGTGTATAATGTGGAGATCCAAAGAGGATCTCCTCCCCCTCTTTTTAAGCAAATATTAGACTTAAATAGACCTCTCCTCCTTCAAGAATCAAAAAAACTCAAAATGGAGCCCACAGGACAATTCTGAAATGTAAGTAAGAGAGCCTAACACCAAGGAGGGGTGGACTTTTCATTCTTTAATTCACCAAATGTTCACTGAGTACCTACTGTGGGTCAAGATGTCAGTGAATCTTGTCCACATGAAGATTATATTGGGGGAGAGGGAGGAAACAGACAATAAACAGTAGATATTTTTTAGAAGTCAGTATATGTATTAGAAAGGGCTAGACCTAAACAAGCAATTCTCCAAGGAAGACATACAAATGATCAAAAAGCACATGAAAAAATGCTCAGTATCACTAATTATCAGAGAAATGCAAATCAAAACTACAATGAGGTATCACCTCACACCAGTCAGAATGGCCGTCATTCAAAAATCCAAAAATGATAAATGCTGGAGAGGCTGTGGAGAAAGGGGAACCCTCCTACACTGCTGGTGGGAATGCAGTCTGGTGCAGCCACTATGGAAAACAGTGTGGAGATTCCTCAAAAGACTAGGAATAGACTTACCATATGACCCAGGAATCCCACTCCTGGGCCTGTATCCAGAAGGAAATCTACTTCAGGATGACACCTGCACTCCAATGTTCATAGCAGCACTATTTACAATAGCCAAAACATGGAAACAGCCTAAATGTCCATCAACAGGTGACTGGATAAAGAAGAGGTGGTGTATTTATACAATGGAATACTACTCAGCCATAAAAACCGACAACATAATGCCATTTGCAGCAACATGGATGCTCCTGGAGAATGTCATTCTAAGTGAAGTAAGCCAGAAAAAGAAAAATACCATATGAGATCGCTCATATGTGGAAACTAAAAAACAAAACAAAAATAAACAAACAAACAAAAACAAA